TATAGGCAGAGAGGGGCCTCTTAGGTGCAGCAGGATCCTTTTGATGGTGCCTTTTATTTGAGCTACGTGGACCTGCTGCAGCAGTACTGCTGCTGCTGCTGCTGCTGCTACCACTGCTGCTGGTTGTTGGTGCTGCTGTTGCTGCTGCTGCTGATGGCTTCCTGCTGCTGGAGGAAGAAGATACCTTCGCTGGAGGACCTGATGATCCTGATGATGAGCTCCCTCCTCCCCTACGGCTGCTCTTCGTACTCGTCATCGGCATACAGGCCAAAATTAGGGTTTAGGGTTTAGGGTTTAGGGTTTAGGGTTTACACGGTAATTAGGTCAATATACAACCTTCAAGTCCATAAAGACAATCGGGGGGGTTTATAAAAACGCCTGCAAAGCATACAGAAGACACTGACACACCCCCGACTTATGAGCGCAAACCCTAAACCCTAAACCCTAAACCCTAAACCCTCATACAATACACCTAAACCCTAAACCCTAAATGGACGTCTTGTTGTTATTATATTACTAGCTCACCAAAAAATATATCGATCTTTGAATATTCGTTTATTTATTCATGCTCTAGCAGCAGCAACTGCAGCGGCTGCTGCTTGCTGCGCGCAGCAGCAATGGGCTGGTCACTGCTGCTGCTGCTGCCGCTGCCGCTGCCGCTGCTGCTGCTGCTGCTGCTGCTGCTGAGCGCCTCACACTTTGCATATGCATCTCTTCCTTCCAATGTTCTACATATTCTCTTTTATGATAAAATAATTACTCTTATCCTTAAATTTAGGGTTTAGGGTTTAGGGTTTAGTGTTTAGGGTTTAGGGTTTAGGGTTTAGGGTTTGAGCGGTCACCTAGGTGACCCACGAGCGCTCCACCGTTTACACACCCGTCGTAGGCAAACCCACATCTTTTGTTTTTTTCCCTCTAAACCCTTATTTATCTTAATTATATTCTATAGTTTAGGGTTTAGATGCAAGGGTTAAGCAAAAGGGTATACGGTTGAGGGTTTACGTAGTTGTTTGAGGGCGTTCTGTGGTTGAGCGCTGCAGTGTTTAGGGTTTAGGGTTTAGGGTTTTTAGGGTTTGGCACCATAAAAGGATTATTGAGGAATTGTGATCCATTTACCACCAGTCTTATAAACCCTAAACCCTAACTCCTGTAAGAATATTTTAAATCCCCCAAACCCTAAACCCTAGTAAATGTCCTTACCAAAATACTAAACCCTAAACCCTAAACCCTAAACCCTCGTATTGGAGTTGTTGCTGCTGCAGACGACTTATGCAGTTCCTTATAATAATAAATTTATAATTACTTAATTAAATACAACATATTTATAGATAAATATATCCTATGCATGCAGACGTGTGTATAGGTGAAGAAATACATAACAATTAGCTGTATTAAATGAATTAAATTAAAAAGAAAAAAGAAGAAAATAAAAAAAGAAGAAAAGAGAAATAAATGCATGCATGCAGCATCGTGAGGTGCATGCAAGCCCCAAGTTTATACTCAACTTTGTCTGTCCTCTCTTATTTTTTTAATCCATTTTTTAATTGATTATATAATTAATTATTTTATTTTATTATTTAACTATTTAATTGATTATTTAATTAATTATTTAATTATTTAATTAATTAACTAATTAATTAACTAATTAATTAATTAATTAATTAATTAATTAATTAATTTCTTTTGTATTAAACAACTCAACACTTAGAAAACCTGCATAAGGAAAATAATGTCTAAAGAAGGAACAAGCACAGCATTGCTGCTGCTGCTGCTGCTGCTGTTGCTGCTGCTCCTATTGCTACGGCTGCTGCGGCAGCAGCAGAAGCACTTGCTGCTGCTGCTGCTGCTGCAGATCGTTGTTTGCTGCTGTCCAAGTTACTGCTGCTGGATTAAATGCAAACGCGCAGCAGCAACTGCAACAGCAGCTGCTTGTGCACTCTGATAGGCACGAGCAGCAACAGGCACTAAAGCTCTTGCTGCTGCTGCTGCCGCTGCAGTTGCAGCTGCTGCTAGGCGAGCAGCAGCAGCAGCGGCTGCAGAGGCAGCAGCAGCTGCAGCGGCAGCAGAGGCAGCAGCAGCGGCAGCAGCAGCAACAGGCCCTCAAGTCTCTCCCAGCCCGACAGCACGGAGCCGTCCTTCAGCTGCGCTGCTGCTGCTGCATGCAGCCTGACTCGGCCAGCAGCAACAGCAGCAAACAACAGCAGGAGCTGTGCTGCTGCGGACATCGACCCTACGGCAGCCATTCACTCGGTGTTCCTTGCGTAATCACGTACACCTGAATAGCAGCAGCAGCAGCAGAAGCAGCAGCAGCAGCAGATATCAACAACCGCAGGAAACGTGCATCGTATGCTGTAGCAGCCCACACAAATACTGCCGCTGCTGTTGCTGCTGCATGCGCTTGGGCAAACATTCATTCATGCATGCATGCATGCACGCATGCACGCATGCAGATTTGGGGCTTGCCTGATCTGTGGGGCAGAGTTTAAGGTCTTTGCTTGGGCAGGAGATGACGAGCCCTAAGGGTTGGTCTTGTACTTCTAATTGAGGGGAATTTGTTAGCTGCCTATACACCCCAATTGCGATCTTCTTCTCCATACTTAACAAGTGCTGCAGCAGCAACAGCAACAGCAGCAGCAACAATAACAACAATAACAAGGGCTTATACTAGTGATGTCTATATGGAGGCTGCATGCACCACAGGTGGCACCGTGCTTGGTCCAGGTGCAGCAGCAGCAGCAGCAATAGCAGCAAGGCAGCATAAGCAGCAGCAGCAAAGCAGCAGCAGCAGCACAACTGAGTATTACCTCAAACAATCTTCTAAAGGAACTCCCAAAGAACATAGGGGGGACACCCTCTAAGCACAATGGGATGGCGGAACCTCCCCGCACTGCGGTGCGTGCCTGCAGCAGCAGCAGCAGCAGCAGCAAAGCAGCAGCAGCAAAGCAGCAGCAGCATCTCAAACCCCTTCCCGGAGCACCACTCCCGCTAAACAAGAGACAAAAACAGCATCAGCATCAGCACCAGCAGCATTAGCAGCACCAGTAGCAGCACCAGCACCAACAACAGCAGCAACACCAACACCAACAGCAGCAGCAGCAGCAGCAGCAGCAGCAGCAGCAGCAGCAGGAGCTGACCTGTACTAGACTATTAATAAGTGTAACTTCAACAGAAAATCTGCTGACAGGAAGAGTGTGCGCCATCGCACCATAAAACATCTCCTCAACGCATGCATATCCAGACGCAAAGAACAGAGACCTATAAAAAAAATAGATAAATAAATAAATAAATAAATAAATAAATAAATAAACTAAATAAAGTGTCTCCTTTTTATTTTATTTGTGTTTAGTGTCTCCTAAAGTGTCTCCTAAACTGTCTCCTAATGTGTCTCCTTTTGTTTCCTTTTGTCTCCTTTTGTCTCCTGACCTTAGCCAAGGCGGGCGGACGTAAGGATTCGATTCGTAATTTGGGGTCTCCGCCATTGTGAAGTCGCAGTACTGCAACAAGGTTGACTGCAGCAGCAGCAGCAGCAGCAGCAGCAGCAGCGGGGGAAAACGTAAAGCTACAGGGGCAGTGGCACAAACAGCAACCGCAGTGACAATAACAGCAGCAAGAACAAAACGACCAAAAGCAGCAGCAGCAGCAGCAGCAGCAGCAGCAGCAGCAGCAGCAGCAGCAGCAGCATGACTCACGTCTTTGAGGTCGAGGAAGATTTGCGGGTCTTTGTGCCTCGGAAGAAGGGCGCCAAAATAAGAGAGACCTCTAGGTACATTCTGCTGCTGCTGCTGCTGCAGCAGGAGGAATGCCTCTGTGTCTGCTGCTGCTGCTGGCGAATGTAATGAGGGATCAAGTAGAGCGGAATTCTTATCTGCAGATCCAATCCCCTGTTGCTGCTGTTGCTGCAGTTGCTGCTGCTGCTGCTGCGGTTGCTGCTGCAGTTGGCTATGACAAAATTGATTACCCCCAGCATAATGATTATCATTGTGCTGCTGCGCATGCGCTGCTGCATCTGCATGCCCAACAGGTACTGCTCCTGCTGCAGTCCCCCCCGCACCACAGCTCCCACCACCACCAGCAGCAGAGGGAGCAGCAGCAGCAGCAGCACCACCACCACCATGATGGTGTGTATGCTTCTTTCTTGTCTCTAATACAGGAGGGAGTCTCCCTTGAGGAGGAGGGAAGGGGCCCCCTCTCTTATATAATGCAAGAATAGTTCTCCTAACAAGAATAGCTTGTGTATCTAATTTGCTGCTACTAAAGTCTGCCCTCCATGATACATGAGGACAAGAGAAGACAGCAACAGCAGCAGCAGCAAGGGCCCCTGCCCTTAATAAATCCGTCATAGATAGAGCAGACCCACTTATATAGGCACAGCAGCGCGAGTAGGGCCTCAGGTCTAGGGGCCCCACAGTATTAGGCTGATGGGGACTAAGGACTAATACATTAAATAAACCATTTTGTAGTAACGAATGCAGAAATATACGGAGGCCCCTTGGCCACCCACACACTAACACTAGGGGGGCCCCTGGGGACTCATATACTGTATTACGTGCCTCTCCTAAGGATAATACTGCACGGAGGCCCCCTAAATGCTGCTGCTGCTGTTGCTGCTGTTGCTGCGGTTGGGGTTGTTGTTGTTGCTGCTGTTGTTGAGGTTGCTGTTGTTGTTGAGGTTGTTGTTGTTGTTGCTGCTGCTGTTGCTGTTGCTGCTGTTGTGATGGTGGGGTCTGCTGTTGTTGGTGGTGGTGCTGCTGTAAGGAATTAACTGCTGCTGCTGTTGCTGCTGGTGGTGCTGCTGCTGATGGACAACCGGATGGTGCTGCAGGACCTCCTGTACGTCCACATAGAGCAAAAGATACAATACCGCCAGATCCACCCATGCTGCTGCTGCTGCTGCTGCTGTTGCTGCCACAGCTGTTGCTGCGTAGAGACTCTACTGATGGTATTTGTCTGCTGATGCTCCTTAGACTTGACCGTGGTGCTCCTGTCCCCCCCGGTGCTGCTGCTGCTGCTGCTGCTGCTTCAAAGGAAACTGTTTGTGCAGGGGTTTGTTGCGTTGCTGCTGCAGCAGATGCAGCAGAACTATCCTCCATAGAATGCAAAGAGGGACTCTCCTGCAGCGGCTGCAGCTTCTGTCTCCATCGTAAGGAAGAAATGTCTCCTTGTACACGTCTAAACGGAGACCGACCAGCTGCATATACACCACAAAGGAGACAAAAAGGAGACACCTATAGGTCAGATGGAGACAGACACAAAGAGAGGCAGAATAGACAGATACAGGGAGAGAGAAGGAGACAGGGAGAGACACACAGAGACAGACGGACTCCACCCAAACACACATCCAACACAAGACAGAACCAGCAGCAGCAGCAACAACAACAACAACAGCAGCAGCAGGAGGAGGAGGAGGAAGGATAGTCTTACTTGGATGTTGTAGAGGATCTTGATGTGCCTTTGTGTGTCTCCTTCTTGATCCAATATCCTTAGCAGAGGCAAGACGAGCAACAACCTCTAGATTAGGTGCTAATACTATACCTGCATATACAGGTAATTCTCCTGCTGCTGCTGCTGCTGCTGCATCTGCTGCTGGTGCATCTGGTGAATGACTTCTATGTCCATGATGATGATGATGATGTTGCTGCTGATGATGAGGATTAGTGTGTGTATTATTGCTGCTGCTGTTGCTGCTGCTGTTACTGTTGTTGCATGCAGCAGCAGCAGCAGCAGCAATTTCATCTCCTACATTATATTGTGCAGGATTAAGAGCAATTTTATTAGTAAGAGAAATAATACCAATAAGGAAGACTTGGTGTTGTATATAGAGGAGACGAGCAAGCTCAAGAAAGGAGACACCTTGTACACACTTAGGGAAATCCATCCTATATACAGTATAAGTAGTCCCTCTCTCGTACTGATTTAGATCCTCTTGTACTCTTCTATTAAGAGAGGATATGTGTCTCCTTGAGTGTCTCTGTTGTATCTTAGAGTAAGCAAACCAGCAACCAACTAAGGGAAGGAAACCTGGGCAACCTGCACAACTCTTGCCTAATAGTTGCATCTTTAATTCAGATATACAGAGGGTAGCAAATGCCCCCATCTCTGTTACTAGACCCTTACGATGGTCATGTAGTAATTGTACACTAATAGGTCTAATAGGGAAGCATGCAGCTCTTGCCCCTAAGAAACGTAATAATGTTGCATGATCTTCTTCTTGTTCTCTTGTCTCTACACTCTCTCCTGATCCTGCTGCTAGTAATGGTCCTTCTGCTGTTTGTTTACCACCACCACCACCACCGCAGCCACTGCTGCTGCTGCTGCTGCTGCCGCTGCTGCTGAGACCTTGTTGTACACCACCTATACCACCAGCTAATGCATATGGTCTGCTGTTACTAAATACGAAAACAGCACGAGCCTCTGTGCATGCAGCTCTTATAGAGGAAGGTAATGCAGCACCTTTAGCTCCTCCTCTTATACAGATTCTTAATCCTGAATGTCTTAATGCTTGTTGGCATGCATCTAGATATGCAGCAATAGGTAAAGGGGTAATAACAAGAAGAGCAGCAGTAGATCCAGGGAATACACGACCAACCTCAAAGGAAAAAGAAGATAATTGATGAGGCTGTATAGGTCCTAATATACAGAAATAATCCTCATCTTGCATAGGTGCAGTACCATAGGTAGTACGTGGCTCTCTTAATGCCTCCATTAATCTTTGTATTTCTCCAGGTAAATATACAAATGCAGATACAATCATACACATAGCTAATCCCCTTCCTGCTGCACTCTTAGGGGCAAAATCCCCATACCCTACAGTCATTACTGTTACTACTGCATAGAAACATAAATCAAATACAGATAGGTAATTTGCTGCTGGGTCTGGTGCCTCTAGTATGAATATACCCCCAGCAAATGTTAATACTATCATTAACCAGGAGACACCTATAGATACTACACGTAGACATACTAAGGATAATGTAGGGAAACAAGTTGCTAATACTGTCTCTGTTCTTAATAAACGTAAGAAACGTAACCAACCAAGCCCCAATAACCATGGATATGCATGCGCTCTTGGATCCGGTACAAATAAACGTATACAATATGCAGATACAGGTAACGTAATTAAATCTATTAATGCATGAGGAGACAGCAGATAACGTAAAGGAGACTCTGCTGCTAATAAACCTAGACAATAGTCCCAACTAACCATCCATACAAATAATGCCTCTACTAATTCATAAGAAGAGGGAAGAGCATTAAATTGCCAATTAAGTAAACCCTTATTATATGTACTGTCTCCTAATGTGTCTCCTAATGTGTTGTCTCCTAGTAAGGGTCTCTCCATGTATGTTGTTGCCCATAACCATACACCACACCACGCAAGAGTACGACATAATACAGCTAATAGTGCAGCAGGGGACGTTAAGGCAGGAAATAACCATAGACGTACCCCTGACAGCAGCAGCTGCAGCAGGAGACAAATTACACGACAACAACGACTAGCTATACCCCCTACACCATCCCCTTCTTCTCCTTTATTATCCTCATTTAATCCTACACCACCACCAGCTGTCTGTACACCACAATAACCTAATAAACCCCCCATACCTCCACCATCTGCACCCCATACACCACCATCATAACGACTACCCCCCTCTACCCGCTGCAGCAGCTCCCTTAATCGTCCCTCTAGTCCCCCTCCTGATGGAGACACGTCCCCTCCGTATAAATCTAGCGTTGTTGCTGCTAGCAGCATAGCAGACGACACCTGCTGCTGCTGATGGGGGGTATAAGGGAACGATGGCCAACCATACGACGCCTCCGCCTCGCTGCTGTGACGAAGCAGCATACGTGGGGGGGCCCCCATCATCGATGGGGGGCCCCATGCTGGGGTACCTGATGAACCACCACGAACTAAACCCCCTCCGTATGCCCCTCCTCTACCACAACCCCCTGGAGCTGCTGCTGCTGCTGCTGCTGCAGCAGCAGCAGATAAAGCACCACGACCTCCAGCATTCTTATTATAAGTTAACCAAAAACGCGAGACATCATCAGAGACATAACGACGAGGAATCACGGATGCATCCTCCTCAGGTAAACCCCCTTCTGCGGTGTCTGGGGGGCCCCCATATGGGGGGCCCCCAAATGGTGGACCCCCGGATGGACCACCAGACCCGTGGGTACCCATAGGGGGACCCACAGGAGCCCTTATACCCGTTAACTCCCCTGAGAATGCACGAGCAGCAGGAAGCTCTGCTGTATCGTCGTTCTTCTGGTGCTGCTGCTGCTGCCATGCTGTTGCTTGCTGCTGCTGCTGCTGCAGAATGTTGCGTCTACGGGCAGCTCTGTTGCAGCACCAGAACGACTCGCATAAGGAAGCCATGCGTTTACAGATACCCCCAGGGGGCCCCCCCTCTTGGGGCCCCTCGGTGCCCCTGCCATTAGTTACGACACTGTGGGCATGTAGGGCCTCCGCCTGCTGCTGCTGCTGAAGTTGCTGCAGCAGCAGCTTCTGGTGGCCAGCAGCAGGAAAACGGGCAGCAGCAGGACGTGAATCAACACGATGCGCATAACCGAGGAAACGGCCTAAAGGAGACAACAAAAAGGAGACACCTCTGCATGCATTATTTTTCTTAATACCCTAAAATATAATATAATAATAAATACCTAAACCCTAAACCCTAAACCCTAAATAATACATAAATATAAGCAAATGCGTGCAGTTGCTGCTTATATAGGAAGGGAGGGAGGAAGGGAGGGAAGGAGGGAGGGAGGAGACAGACCGTGTAGATAAGACTTGAATTGTCTCCTCCATTTAGGGACTCTTAAGGAAATATAAGCAAAGAATAACATTAATATATATAGACCTGCAGCAGGTAATAAGAAAAGATCACTAGTATTATTATGTAGATCTAATGCAGTACTAGTTAACACAATTATAACAACAACCCCACTAAGGGCCTTCTCTAGGGCCCTCAGCAGCAGGCGTAGACGGCGACGTAACCAGAATACACCACCACCACCTTTGCTGCTGCTGCTGCTGCTGCTTGTTCGGCTGCATGTGCTACAGCCAGATACTGCTGGAGGTACCACACCATCACGATCCCTATCACGGTCACGATCCCGATCCCGATCCCGGTCGTGAGCACTACGACGTCTGCTGCTCTCGCTAGGAGCACTCTCAGACCCCACAGCCACAGATATATCTACAGGAGCTACCCCATTTGAACGATCTGCTGCTGCTGCTGCTGCTGCTGCTGCTCCTGCTGCTGCTCCTGCTGCTGCTCCTGCTGCTGCTCCTGCTGCTGCTCCTGCTGCTAAGGAAGATACACCCCTTCTACCTGAATCGAAGGAGCTGCTGCTGCGGTTTGCAAAGGCAACCGAGTATTCAACTCGACCCGTGTGAGGCCTCTGCTGGTGCTGCTGCTGCCGCTGCTGTTGTTGCTGCTGCTCTTGCTGCTGAATATTGTTATTATTGTTGTTACTACTATTGTTACTCTGAGAAGGAGGGGAAGGAAGCTGCTGCGACTCGTCATTGCCGCCGATGGGTGCACGGGCAGTATCGGCTCCTGCTGTCGCTGCTGCTGGTGTAGCTGCGGCAGTTGTTGCTGCTGCAGTTGTTGCTGCTGGTGTGCCCCTGGGTGTTGCTGCAGCTTCTACAGGAATTGAGGGGAGATCTGCTGATGGTGGCAGATTAGAGGAGGGTGGGCCCCCCCAACCATTTCTTGCCTCATCAGAGGGGGCCCCCCAACCATTACGTGCCTCCTCAGGAGGCGGAGATCGCCCGCTAGGCCCCATTTACCTTCTGCTGTATTCAGCTGGGGCTGCTGCAGCAGCTGCAGCAGCAGCAACACGCTGCTGTAGCATTTGCTGCTGCGGCGGCGCGGGCGACTGCAGCTGCTGCTGACCTGCTGCCGCTCGCCGTTCGGCTCGACGCCTGCTGTCGTTGCTGTTGCTGCTGCTGGTTACGTCTCCTCCTCTATTACTAAAGCCAAACGCTGTATTTAGTTAATCAATGGCTATGCATGCACTATTGAAGATCCTGGCGGATCCATTCAGCGGAAGACCGCCTTTGCTGCCGCTGGCTGCTGCTGCTGCAGCCGCTGGTGCCGCTGCTGCAGTTGTTGCAGCACATGAAGCGTGCAGTGGTGCAAATACGCCAGCAAACCCGCCAAATATGTGCCTAAAAAACGGTTGCAGATTTTAAACCGCACTAACAAACGGTAAGGACCCCATCAACAACAACAGCAGCAGCAGCAGCAGCAGCAGCAGCAGCGCCAGCAGCAGATGACCGCATGCGGTGGAAGACTGTATATGTGTAGAGAGCACACCTGCGTGTACACCAGGAATGATCCTTTTAAGACTTCTTTCCCTCCTTAACTTATAATATATTTACCCAACAGATCTCCTTGTTTTCGTTTATCTAAACGAATCTTCGATTGCTTGCACCGGCTACACGAACGGGGGCCCCCGAGGGGCCCCGACGGGACACACGATCTTCTGCAGAAGAGGTAATTCATACACACAAAAACACAAAAAAAAAGCCCTAGACCCTTACTTTAAGGAATATACAATAAACCCTAAACCCCTATGTCTCAGCTTTAGATGTATACCCCAATTTTTCCCGTTGCACAACCTCATCGTCTTGCTGTGGGTAAAATGCAGCAGCAGAACAACTGATAAAACTACATCTCTCAGCCCTTTTATGCTATTTTTACATTATAAGCATACGAATCAATAAAAAGGGGACGGCCAGAAAGGAAAAACAAACGGAGCGAAAACTCCGAGTCCGGGAATTGAACCCGGGTCTTCCGCGTGACAGGCGGAAATACTAGCCACTATACTAACTCGGACAGTAGCAAGGCACCTACTAGCAGCCTACATGAGGATGATACTAAAATATATCGCAACAGAAGGCGGAGTGTTTCTTATTTCCTACTTCTGCGGCATCTGCTCTGAAGTTGCATGTGCCCGTGCTGCTGCAGCTGATTCACATGTGATGCATAGTAACGCTTAGGGCTCTCCCTCGTGATTGACTCGATGTAGAGGGGTCTCCTGCATTGGAAATGTCCGCTACTGTTACAGTTGTTGTTGCAGTTGTTGCTGCAGTTATTGATGCTGAAGCTGCTGATAATGTTGTGTTCGTGTGCGCATATTGCTATTTCCGCAGAGCTGTTGCGTTGTTTACCCGTCCGAGTTAGTATAGTGGCTAGTATTTCCGCCTGTCACGCGGAAGACCCGGGTTCAATTCCCGGACTCGGAGTAGTTATTTATCTACCTTGCAACGTATTCATTCTAATGCCCTAGTAGGAATACAAGTATGGCGTATAGATTCCTTTGCTTGCCCATTACCCTACCGATACCTGTGATAGCTCTAATATACGGTTGCTGTCAGCTTATCGGCAAACCAGAAAGAATGCCGCCTTTCCAAGAAGATTTCCAAGGACAAGGGTGCATAGAGCGATGAGGCGATATCAGGTGCTTTGCTGATCCAATTGAAAGTAGATGGGCCATCCAGACGAGAAAGGGTAATGCAAGAGCCAAAAAGGCCGACAACAGCACCGTCTGATTCTTGTCGAACCAACTCTGTGCATGTTTATCCCCACGTGTATCCATGGAGAATGGTTGTGGGCGATAGTTAATATTGTGTGCGATGTTGCCATGTTCCACGGCGTTACATTGAGGGGATGCTGTAACCTATCGATTCATCGGTATTGTCTCTGCGATTACGGTTCACCAGCTGTAGACACAATGTGAGGAAGGGGACATACGGGCGGCATCGAGGCATAACGCATGTATGGGTCACATTAACGCATGACAAAACTAGAACTGGCTCTTAAAGGGAATAGAGAGTGCCCGGCTCGGTGGGTGCCAATGGTTTGTGTAGTCCGAGGAGCAGGAGGCCTCTCCATCATAAATGTGAAACCGAGCAGCCGTCATCAAACTTTTATTCGTAGTTGTCTACATCGAGTAGCAGCCCAGGAAGATTCTTCCCAAACTTTGCAGACAACGACAACAGCGCCATTTGAGGAACGTAGTAATCATAGGATTCACCATAATGACCTGCTCATCGGTGTAAAACAGTGTTTGACTAACAGCAACACCAACAGCAGAAACCGCATTAAACCTTCCACCATAAAGTAACACAGCAGCAGCAGTACCGGCAACAGTGAGCTAGTGCAAACAACTCCGAGTCCGGGAATTGAACCCGGGTCTTCCGCGTGACAGGCGGAAATACTAGCCACTATACTAACTCGGACGTTTATACCACAAACCTAAGCAACCCAAAAACGATAGCATACAGAACGTATCGCAGGAGCAGGCGACGCATTTCTTATATCTCGCTCCTGCTGTTTGCGTCCCTAATGCTGGATCAGCTACTGCTGATGCTCATTCTAGTATGTTGGTTGGTAGACTTTCGGGGATTGGCACTTTAATGGCTTTGCGTGAGGGTTTTCCTGCTGTTTCTGTTGATTTTTTGGGGTGTCGGAGTGTCCGAGTTAGTT